GTATTCTTCTTTTCAACAAGCTCTTCCATGCCCCCTGCACCATGCATACACACCCATACACACAAACACACACTTGTGTGAAAAATTAATTAATGAAGGTTTGTTGATGGATTAGAAAGTTTTAGCATATCGCCCAACCCTAGTGGCTTTCTATGGATATGTTTACACTGCATTCTTGCCAAATCCATTCAAAATGTCTTGTTGTCCCACTTAAACTCCACCAAACCTATCACGCTACTAGCCCAGTCTTTGCAGTAGCGATCGAGGGATGTAGACACAATGGCGAGGTCCTACATATACATGCACTCCACCAATAGTGAATCAGTCTCAACCGTCAATCATGACATTTCCCCATTTTTATATCATCAAATACATCTAACACTTACAGGACAGAGATCAGTCTTTGAAACCAACCTTTGAGAGGAAAAAAAGATTTTGGCCTTTACTTAACATTTTAGTTTGCACCTACACTGCAGCCAGCCGCCAGGTAACGATCAACACGTTCTAGCTTCACTTTGATCGCGCATCTTTATATACAGTCTATGGTATTTACACTCCATTTTGCAAACTATTACATTTACATACACCAACTTTCCACAAGCAAGCAGGCCAGGAATATGTTGCTCTCCCCTTTAGCAGAGAGCGTGAAACTGTGAAAGGTCCCTTGATTCCTCTTCATGCTTCAGCTCTCTTCCAGCTGCTTGGCATGCATTGATTCCTCCAAGAAGCCTTCCCGTTGCTGAGGAACCCTTCTGTTGATCTGAGGCAGTTCTTATAGTCCTCATGGGAAATCATTTTTGGTCTTGGAGTTGACCTGGCTCTTGCCTTCATTGCCCTCACATACTCACTACTGCTATCTTTTAACCCACAGGATGAAGGAAATCTTGCTCACACTGGTCTGCCTCACTTCATCCTACCTTTCTTTGCAAAGCCCTCATCCATCTCACAACTATGAAACAAATAAGGTGGAGAGTCGTGCACTGATGTCTGCAGCTGTGCTTGCCTGTGTGTAGAAGTCATTTAGCGTGGATGTGGAGGTTGAGGTATTCTGCCTGGGGTTTGGATTCCCCACACTTTCTGAGAGATCTGTATTCACTTCAACCAGCTCCTGGAGGTTCCTCAACAAAGTTTTTATCCCGGCTTAACTTTGCTTCAATCTCACCCAGACTATGCATTGTATGTGTGGCTGGCTCATGTGTCAAAGTCCTGTCCTGTCCACTTCCTCCCCCCTTGTAGGCAGTATTTGTTTTTTCCCAGGTGCCAGCAGTCCATCCAGAGGTCACTAGGCTTTCCTGGTTACCAAACAGTGCCAAACAGTTTCTTCCTAGTAGTCCTTGAAATTTGGCATACGGCTTGATGTCATCTGGCTGCTCCTTGGTTAATCTCCAAATTACTCTTCTTCATTAGATGCTTGAACCCAACATGATGCATGCTCTTTACATGGATAAGTGTCTGGCTCTGAGCCTTACAGGCCTTCATCCACTAGTGGCTGGTCTCTCAGCAGCTTCCTATAGCAATATGATGGACCTGGTGGCTCTGGAGCAGATAAACTACTTCATAGAGAACAGTGATTAAAGCATTGTAATGTTACCTATTGTAACTCTTTTTTAGGTCAGTGTGTTTTGAGTCACAAACTTTTCTTGTTTGGAGACAAATGTCGAGCGTTGTTCTGGTACGAGAGTTGATTCTGACCTGTGTATGAGGTGTTTTGTTTGCATTTGTGCATTTAAATTTTTTTTTATATCGGTTACTAAAAAACTACAAACTCAATTTCACTGGCAAGCATAAACCCCTAGTTTATTTAATCAGCCTACCGAAGATATTAAACATGGGCAAATCAAAAATAATAAAGCAAACAAAACATGTAGATCTGCAACGTTGTTTCCATGGTTGCATCTGACGAACCTCTCCTCACTTATCCCATAACACTCGTGCTTGGTGGTCCGGAAAAATGGGAATGTGTGTCTGGATGGTTTTGGCAGGTGCAACTTATTAGACCCATTAAAGTCCCTCGGGACTGTTTGTTCAGTCTTTCTCCAATGAGTCTTTTCCTACTCTTAACAGTAACAGGTGGCATATGTGGAACAGCTACATGAGAAGAAATGGGATTGATGCGCAGAATGTAAACTGCACCTTTGACATGCGTGGTCTGTGGTTCAATAGGATTACAATAGGGCCCCAGTGGCACGTAAATCTCCTCAATTCGAAAGAGATGGAAACCACATCAGCGAAAAGTAGAAATCCTACAGAAGCTTCATATGTGTGACGATCTGCCACTTTGATTTTATCACGTAACATCCGACGGGAAATTCCAGGCTTTTTCAACACTGGTGTTATGCTCATACGTTTTCCTTCTGCTGTAAACTTTGCTGCTTTTCCTACAATGATAGGTCAAAATGTGTACTGTGACTGTGAACTTCTTTATTCACCAGACACTCAGGTTGGGGATTGGTTGTTTTCAAATTAAACACAAAACACAAGAAAAATGACTCCAGTCAAGCTGCGTGTATCGCATTACTAATGTACTGCAATTAGATAAGTAATGCTCAGTGGCAAAGAAATAGACAGAGTGTAACCTATCTACTGTATTTAGTAATGGGGGAAATAAAACAAAAATTTTACCTCAGGCCTTGGAACTTACCAAACAGGATGCAGACTGAGACAGTCCTGTAAATGTTTTATCTAAATTTAGACAAAATCCAACAACAATCACATGAGTCTTAGTCCTGTGCCATTAAAGCCTAGTTTCCACTTCAAATGGGGTTGTAACTTTTGTTCTGTAGATACATGGTTTCATCTGTTGTCATTCAGCTAAAGGCACCTTTTACATTAAGCTACAAACCTACAGGTTTATGGTGATAACATCAATTTCCAGCTTAATGCACTGTGATCTATTCTGATGTCAGTGGATGGTGGAGGAACTACAGAGATAATGTGTTTTTTTTCAACTTCTTATTCCACCTTCAACCATATTCCTCTCATTTTAGCTCCAGAATCTATCCCCCTAAGCTGGAAGTTTATGTTCTGAACTTTTCTTAAACTTTCTCAGCTATCCTTTGGGAACATAGCCAATGCCTTCCTACACATTACAAAGAAAAGTAATTCTCATGAATTTTTAAAATATGAAGACCAGACAATGGATGTCAGATTAAATATGAACTTGAATAAAAGCCACTCAAGTTTATTGAGAAACAAAATGTTCTATGACATGATTGGACATGCTAACAGCTGCACCGGACAAACACTGTTGTTGAGATAGACCAAGACTCTGCTGAGAAACATTATGACCTGGAGTTAAATCAGTGTTCTGGTTATTCTCACAGCCCGGTCTGAGCTATCATTATTATTTCGAGGCTGGAGACGATCCATTACAGTACAATGTATTCTCATTTTCTGTTTAAGTCTGTTTAAGCACTTTATTAGGAACATGGAATTGAAGAAAGCTTTACACACGTTCAACCACCTGAGTCACTAGTCCCCTGCCACACCTCTCCTCCCACTGGGTTGCACTAAAGTCACCACGAAACCTTTACAGTACATCAGATCTCAGCATATCATACATAAACTACACAACAGCGATTAAATAAAGCAATAATCCAGGAAGGAAATTTTACTCCATTCCCAGACAACCTCACACAGACCACCAGGCCACAGATTCTGTCGGCTAAGAAACATCTGGGAGGAACGTTATCCAGATTAAAAATATTTGTGATTTAACAACAATTACAAAAAAATTATATTC